GTTCGGCCGAGAGTCTGAGAAGGCATATGGGACACCCGTCCGAGAGCGGCAGACTGGGGTATGCAGTTTACTCCTCTCCAGAAGCAACCTTGCTAGCTGACTGATTATGTGATTCTGATCATCTGAAAAGCACTCATACCGCTATGTTTTATCAATTGTTAGCAACTTATAAACACCAGGTAACAGAAGCCTGAGAATAATCACTCAGAGTCAGTGAGAGCTGGTGGGAGATGGACCGGAGTAAACTGTATTGATACAATCTTCTCTGCCGTTACACAGGAGGAAATTAACATTTACCAGAATATACTTTCATCACAAAAGCAATTCTAGGAAATCGGGTGAGGATATTATTAATTATTTTTTCAATAAAAACCATTTGTTCTTCTGACCATTTATTACATTCGTGTACCTTTTAAAACCACATGGAAAGTACTTACTGCAGTCTGGCTTTTCCAAAGAGTACTTAATCATACACTACACATTCCATCAATAACATGAAGAAGATACACAGAACATGATATAGAAAAGATGTCCTCTTTTTATCATATCTACATGAAAAGTATGTAATTTAAAGTGTCACTTGGAAAGAAAAAGGATCGCATAAGCTGTCAAGAATTTCATCTGTCAAATAAATTAACAATATCACATACACTGAACACATTCAAATACATCAGCTTTGCCAAAATTACTGGTGTATTTTTTTATTAGATGTTACAAGTTTAAACCAGCAGCACTTACAGTGTTTGAAAACAAGCAACAGTATAATAACCCTGCTTGCTCATAGATGATCTGCTGGAGATTATCAGCATGCATATATTTAATGGGATTCCCACAAAACTGGGAGATTCCTTTTGATTAAAACAAACGACTGAAGAGGATAAAAAACACAAGAAACTTCTTTTTATTAGATGTTACAAGTTTAAACCAGCAGCACTTACAGTGTTTGAAAACAAGCAACAGTATAATAACCCTGCTTGCTCATAGATGATCTGCTGGAGATTATCAGCATGCATATATTTAATGGGATTCCCACAAAACGGGGAGATGCCTTTTGATTAAAACAAACGACTGAAGAGGATAAAAAACACAAGAAGCTTCTAAATCTAAATGCAAGCCAAAATCATCAGGAGACACCACAAATTAACATCTAGAAAGATTATTTACTCAACAAATAATGATTGAGTACCTCTTGAGAGCCAGGAGTGGTAGGTACCGGTCTTTATACCAGTAGAGCTCACAGACCGATGGGAAGACATAGCAGACAAAACTGCAGTGCAGTGAGGTAAATGCCACAGAAGCTCTACCTGGTGCAGTGAGGTAAATGCTACAGCGCTACCTGGTGCAGTGAGATAAATGCCACAGAAGCTCTACCTGGTGCAGTGAGGTAAATGCTACAGCGCTACCTGGTGCAGTGAGATAAATGCCACAGAAGCTCTACCTGGTGCAGTGAGGTAAATGCTACAGCGCTACCTGGTGCAGTGAGATAAATGCCACAGAAGCTCTACCTGGTGCAGTGAGGTAAATGCTACAGCGCTACCTGGTGCAGTGAGATAAATGCCACAGAAGCTCTACCTGGTGCAGTGAGGTAAATGCTACAGCGCTACCTGGTGCAGTGAGATAAATGCCACAGAAGCTCTACCTGGTGCAGTGAGGTAAATGCTACAGCGCTACCTGGTGCAGTGAGATAAATGCCACAGAAGCTCTACCTGGTGCAGTGAGGTAAATACCACAGGAGCTCTACCTGGTGCAGTGAGGTATATACCACAGGAGCTCTACCTGGTGCAGTGAGGTTAATGCCACAGCTCTACCTGGTGCAGTGAAGTAAATGCCACAGGAGCTCCCCCTGGCACAGGAACCCAAGACCCCCAGGGTACCTGAGGCCAATGGCATTACTTTAAAGCCATGTGTAATGATGAGGAATTACAATCCCCATCTCCTCTTTTCTAGAAACTGGGTCAGAGCTGGACTACTGTGGGGAGGACTGTTAACATGACCTCTCAGCCGCAGAGGAGACCAGAGGGTTACGTGCGGTCACATTAGTAACTCTCTCAGTCACTCCCCTGCATTACACCATTAATAAATACCTCGGAGATAAACAGCTATGACCTATGGTGATGGGACTTCTAAATGTACTCTGCTTAAGGAAAATAGATACAGTCATACTTCATTTACTTGGCTACCTTACATATTTGGAAAACATTTAAGGACATGGAAGGTAACAAAATTGTCCATTAAGTAGGAAAAACAAATGTTAGAATCTGCTCCCTAAAACATATGTAATATGTAGAAAAGCCCCCAAACTCACTCAAAATCTAGACAGCTTTGTTTCAGAGATGATTCTAGTAAGTACACTAGAACTAGAATACCTGGGGAGGTAGTCACAGAGACACCAGTCCTCAGGAACAGGCCCCGCGGCGGGACGGAGGAGATTGATTGATTTATAGTTTAAATATTATTTTATTGATTTCAGAGAGGAAGGGAGAGAGAAAGAGAAACAGATATATCAATGATGAGAGAGAATAGTTGATGGCTGCCTCCTGCAGGCCCCACACTGGGAATCAAGCCTGAAGCCTGGGCATGTGCCCTGGCCGGGAACCGAACTGTGACCTCCTGGGTCATACGCTGAGGCTCAACCACTGAGCCAGGCCAGCCGGGCAGGAGGGTTAGAAATCAGTGAGAACCTGAAACGCATACTCTGAGCCCCTGCCTGTGAAACCGACCTTCCAGAAGAGACTGAAATGGGCCTGTCCCCTCTCTCTCCGCGGGATGGGCTTGCGGGTTCCTTGCGGGAACTTTCCCTGTTGCTTCCCTGGCGGGTCAGGATGTGAAACACCGTTTTCTTTACCGAAGGACCCAGCGGTGGTGCTGGGCGGAGGTCAGCTGTGTTCAGACGGGAGGTGGTGTGTGCAACTCTGTTGTTCTCTACTCTAAAGCAGCTGTTTTGTTTTGTGTTTCAACTACAACTACAAATGCTTACAGCCCTTTAATATACCACTGTGGGCAGACCGGCATTTTAAAAATATGAGATGATGCTGTTATAATAAAAAATGTAATTAAAGTGCTGTTTGGAGCCAGGGTACGAGGATTCTGTATCTCAGGGTACCTGACAGCTGACAGCGGCATGGTCACCCCCGTGGGGAAGAATAACTCAATGAATACATGTCAAATGCTGCTTACAGGACGTGCTTCCACGTCTGCAGATTTCACTGCATGGCCCACCTTCGACAGCAGTGAAATCCTTAGATTTTTTACCCCGTTTTCCCACGGCTGCAGCACAAACATGTTCCGTGCTTCCTAAACGGCATAAATATTTTAAGGTTTCTGACAGGCAGCAAGGAGGAATTTATTTCCCGGTGCCCCATTCTCTTGGCTGCCTCCTCATGCTGACATCTTGCTTGGAAGACCAGGCCTCCTCTGAGGGAGCTGTGAGGCCGTGGGCAGCCTCCCTCCCTGGCTGCCTCCACTTCGCAGGCGAAGAGTGACTGCAGACACAGCGGTTACAGCACCTCGGCTCTGTCCTCAGATGGCAGGAGCCTCCACCAGAGCGGGGAGAGGGAGCCTGGTGCCCTGTGCCGTGTCGGGATCCCACTTCCATAGGATGCATTTAAACAGGGAGAGGTGGACGTGGCCCACACCTCACGGCTGTAGGCAACACGGGTGATTTAGGAAAAGTCGGCCGTGGGAGAATGGGTATTCACTTCTCCCAGCGGTTCTACCTCAGCATCAGCCAAAACATTCCGAAGGCAGCTCAGCAGGTTTGATTTTCACCCCCAGTTACAACCGCTGGATGCTCAGTGGCTTGCAGACAGACAAGCTTTGTACAAAACATGCACCCTGTGCCACACAGATTAGTACCTGCACATACATGACATCCAACGGCTATTTTAGCCTCTAACAAACTTCTTTTCTCCTTGAGTAATATAATCTATGTGGTCCTATAGGCTGGCTAAAGCCAAGACTGTAAAATGAATGATAAATAAAAATAAAGGATCATCACAGATCAACAAAATGTGGTATATCCATACAATGAAATATTATTTGGCAACCAAAACGAATAAAGTACTGATTTGTGCCACAATATAGATGGATTTGGGAAAAACAAAATTTAGGCTGAGTGAAAGAAACCCATCACAGAAGGCTACATATTGTATAATTCCTTATATTAAATGTGCACAATAGGCAAATCTGTAGACATAACAAGTACATTAGTGGCCACCAGGGGCTGGGGGAGAGGGAATGGTGAATGACTGCTGATGGGTGTTGGGGTTTCATTTTGGGGTGATGAATAGGTTCTAAAGTTAGAAAGTTGTAATAATTGCACAAATTTGTGAATACACTAAAAACCACTGAACTGGACATTTAAAATGGTGAGTTTCATGCTGTGTGAATCATATCTCAGTGCTATTTTTTTTTTTAAAAAAAAAGCTCCTTAGCCTATTAATGATGCTCCACGGATAGGAGGTCTAAGTACAAGAGGACTGAGGTTCCAACCACGATCACTGACACTTGGAACTTCATCCGAGTGAGCTCATCGGTGTGCCCCGGCCTGTCTGTCACGCCTGCAGAAGTGCTTCTCTCTCCCTATCCGCTTTCAGAAACACATCGATCTCCTCTTGGAAGACAGAGGAAGAGGAGTGATTCCAGGAAGTGGTTAATTCACACAGCGCTGCGCTTTGCTAACAAAGTATGTTCAATATCAATCCGTCCAGTGGTCCAGTGTAATTTATTAAGCCGACAGGCAGTTCCAAGGAAGTGTTTGGTCATCCAAATACTTGGCAGACACAGAAACATCCGCAGATAGTCACCTAATTCACAATCAATTATAATATCTAAATGGAGAGTCATCCAAATACTTGGCAGACACAGAAACATCCGCAGGTAGTCAGTCACCTAATTCACAATCAATTATAGTATCTAAATGCAGGAACATCTATTGCTTTGCAACTAGTGGCCATTGTTAGTCGATAAAAACGGGAAATGTTGTACATATAAATACTGACCTTGTTTCCTTTAACCCTTCTTTCTGAATGACTTCCAATATCTGCTTCGCTGTCATTGGTGAGTTGGGGTGTTTTTCTAGTGCCTGAAATATAAAAATAAACGTAAGATTAACAGATGATTGCATGGAAGCGTCAAAAATGAAAGCGTGTGTGAATCACGCAGTGGGTCCTTAAGATTTTAAAGGGGCAGGGGTTATTATATCAAAATAAGGTTCCATCACACAATTCAAGTGTCCAAAGTAAGAAAGTAATTTTTCCTGGACATTAACCAGTATGGCAATTTCTGCAACAAATTGGGGCCATTCTTAAAAAAAAAAAAAGAAAAAACGTCACAAAGGCATACACACCAACCAAAAAGTGAAACTTAAAAAAAACAAGTTAATAAATGTATATAATTTCCTTTATTAAAAATCGCTAGTATTTCATGGTTAAAGGCATGCTTTCAGGCTGTTAAAGTGTTTCCTACATTTCCAGGCCTTGGAAACATGGAGCCTGAACACTACCAACAGCCCAGAACAAAGTGCTGGTCAGAAGGAACCTCAATGGATTCCCATTTTGATCAACTCCTTTTATACTAAAGAGAAAATGAGGGGAAAAGTCCTTGGTGACCCAAATGGCAGGAAGCGTACAGAAACCCAAGTGCCTCGTCGCAGTGTGTTTTCCAGTTCAGCTCAGTTTCCTTTCTTTTGCCTTTTCCGATTAATTTCATGCCTCTTCCCATTCAACCCATCTCCGTTTTATAAACGGATCCCATTTCCCCCTCTTCTTCTCTGTCTTACTTATGTTTCAGTAGAAGGGAGTTCTTTAAGCAACGTGCGGGGGATACATGGCACATGGTTATTTCCACAGGTGCTAGATCATCTGTCCTGAAAATCAAGTTCTTTGATTCAGCCCGGGACTTAGCTACAGGTGTCGAAAGCAGCCCACAGCAGTGACCTCACTGCTCACCAACAGGGACTACAGGGCCGCCTGTAGGGACAAGAAGCAAGAATGCACACCCTCCACGATGCCTTTCTCCACGGGAAGACGGCCCCTAATGGCAGACCCTGGACAGAAGCTTCTGCACATCATGACCCCAGGCCACTTACAGACTAGCTTTCTATTGGTGAGGATTTACCAGAAGGATCAGAATGCTGAAGAGTCACCAGGGCACTCAAAACCCAAAACTGCAAAGGCTCCCACATCTGTTCACAAGAGCTCTGTGGCCTCCCCGACAATCAATGGCCGAAGTTCCACGAAGTCACGAGCAAACATTCTGTCCATCGGGTCTTCCAATGAGTTACACAGACAGGTAGCCCCACCCCACCCCCATTAGGGCCACTCTCCTGCCCGCCCCTTTCTACGTCCCAGGACATTTCCCCATTTTTCCCAGTCTGGATCAGTCCCTTCGTCACAGTTGGCAACTGCTTTAAAGAATATAGACATCAGAGCGACAGTGGGGAGAAGATATGGCAACAAGCATTCCATTCGGAAAGAAAAAAAACTGTCCTCGCGGAGGAGGACTCCAAGCTGAACTGAAGACTGGGAAGGCGGGCGGGGGGTGGAGGGGAGCTCAGGCAGAGCTGTACAGGGAGGAGGACTCACGCGTTGTGTAAACACCTTGCTTGAAAAAGGCAAGAAGGAAACTGCGTGGTAGAGCCGAAAGGGGAAGGTTAGATCACAAGGAGGGAGGGGAAGAAAGCGACATGAAAACAAACAAGCTGACAGACTTGTTAACATGAGAACTGTAAGCAGAGAAGTGCACACTATGGGTTCTGAAAGGAGAGAGGTTAATAAAGCAGGTGATGGAGGTGCAAGGATATTTAAAGTGAAATGTAAGCATGAAGAAAGGTGGGGGAGGGGTGGGGAGGAGAGGGAGGCCAGGAACCCACACCCCTCCGGGCACCACTCGGGGAGAGGGGGGGGGGGGGGCGGGGGGGGGGGGCGGGCACAGGATGGAAGGAGGAAGGGGTTAGAAGAGGAAGGAGAGGAAGGAGGAAAATTGAGCTGAACTGGGACGTCCAAAAGGCAAACCGGTTAAAACTAGAAAGGAAGGGCTGAAGAGGACAGAAACTCCAGGTTACTGGGCAACGTTGTAAGGGACATTGGGGTGCACTCGAAAGTGGGGTTACTCACGGTGGAGGACTCCCTGTTTCTCTTCCCGAGTACAGGCCCCTCAGCACACCTGGCAGCGCCTCGCAGCAATTGAGAGAATCGGGAAGCCCTGTCCCCTGCTCTATGCCATCACATCCTACTCCACAAAGGAAGTGAAAGGGCCAAGAACTGTCGGAGCCACGCAACGACGGAGCCACGCAACACGCCAGAAGCCACCCTCGGGGCCTGTGAGACAGAGAAAGGGGGCAGAGCAGGAGGGGCGCCTGGGTGTGAGCACCCCTCACTGTGCTAGGCGTGTGAGCGTGGACAGGACACAAGGTAGAGAGGAACTGCCTTCACGGAACAAAACATCGATGCCATCCAAATAACGGGACACATGGCAGAGACGTGGACCAGACTCGCAGGCAGCCACACTCAGACACCACGGTGGGGAGAGGTCACAGGCGGAGCGCAAGCCTAAACCCCCGGCCCCGACCTTAGATCCCCCCCAATCTCCCGACGCGGGGGTGGTACAGTGTCACAGGTCCTGCAGAACGGTACTCTCTGGATTCTCCTTCATGACATTTCTCAAATACTAATATTTGCATACGTTTTCACGGTCAATTAATTCACATGTTCTTACAATTGTTTTCCACCTTGTACCCACTTCTGTAGAAAATGGGGCAAAGGATTCAATACAGCAGAGAAGGGAGTAGGAGTCTTTAAGACTGTTTATCACAATAAGATGTTTCCAGAAATAGGTCTAAGGAATATTTCAGATCATCCAAACAGGTTCAAAATGGCTTAGGCAAAAATCATGTAATTGTGGCAAAAGAGGAAGTCCAATTTTAAAGTTTGCCATGGATAATTATTTAAAATAGTCTTGCTTCCTGAGAGTAAAAAGTAGAAAAATGCAAACTCGTGCCCATTTTATTGAAAGCAAAATGCACCCACAAGCCTGCAACCAAGAATATGAACCATGCCTAATATTTGTTCTCTTTCTAGTTTTTCTATTCATACACATTATTTTTAATATAATTATAATTAAGTAAAATACATGTATATTAGCTGTCTCCATGTAATTTGAATTCTCCAAAATAGCATCATAATTAACACTTCTGAGAGTAGGCACTATTTTAAAAATTCAATTAGTAAACAGAAATACCCAAAGAATATATTGAATGTAACATTTTAAGACTATTATTGAGTCAAAGAATATGAATTCTGTTATGTCTCTGGACGCACAGCCAAATGTTTGCAGAAATATTTTAACAATTTATCCTCTCACCAAACAGAACTGAATGTACCCCTTTCACCACAAGTTGGCCAGTATGGAGCATTATCCTAGTAGGTCAAACAAGTGGTAATTTGTTGTTATTTTTATTATACTTCTGTAAATACTAATGAGATAGAGACGTTTTCAAATGAATCTCATGTGGTATAGGATATGCCACTTGGGATATTTCTGTTTTTATTAATGGGGGAAAAGCTCTTTAAACAGTCAGAATGATATTCATTGTTTTGCATAGTAGTAATATTTATTCCTTTTGTTGCTTATCTTTTGGATATTTTAGGGGGATATGCAACGTTTTCCATTTTCATGCTAACAATTCCATCAGATTTTTTCATTGTGACAGCTACTAATATGAGGGCAATGAATACCCTTTTGGATGTGAAACCCACATAGAAGGGCGGGGCCCATTACAGGAATGGCACAGAGCAGAGCGGTCCTTGTTGAGGAGGGGGTGGGGGTGGGGGTGAGAGCGCTCAGAGGACCCGCGCTTTCTCCAGCAGCTGAAGGAACTTCTGGACGTTTTCAGGGTGAAATGAACTGCAAACCACTGCACTTGGGCTGGCCCCGGACTCCTGCTCAGCTCCCCTGCTCTCTCAGCCCCCGCGTGCCAGCACCACCCCGTTTTCAATCGCTGTCATCGTCTAATTCATTTCACTCCCTGGCTAGGGCACTGCTCTCATTATTCCTTCTTAAATTTTTAATTATTCACGTCTTTATATTTCCAGATGAAATTTAGATTGGAATTAAATGAGACATCTAATTAAATTTTTAAGAAATTTACGCACATTGTTCCATGTATTTAAGTTTTATTCCACAAACCGTAATAAGCTTTTTATTGTTTTATATTTTCAATTGCAACTATGAATACACTTTTTTCACATAATATTCTCCCATTTTATGGCTAATCCATCCAGAAGCCATTGAGTGGTGATAATTATTATCTATATGAACAGCAAATTGAATTCTTAATAGTGCCAATAGTACAGGAGCCCGGAATCAGATTTTCTACAAGTCATGTGAATTCTGTCTCCTTCCCAGTAGCTCTGTTTTCTCTTTCTGACATTATTTACTTTAGATTACAAAGGGATCTTTTCTAGTCCCTGTCAAAAAAAAATACAAAAAAAACTTTTGCTGAAAATTGAGCTGCTCTGTCATTTATTTCCTCAAAAACAGGCCCCCAAACCCACAGAGCTTCCTTAATAATGTCCACACTGGAATTAGCAGAGCCGGCGGGAGCTGCCAAGAGAAGACTGTAATTGGAAACCACTGGATGGATATCACTGTCTCTTCTCCACAAATCAAAGTCCGAAACAGTTCAATCTTCCCAGAAAAGGTTCTTTCTTTCTTTGCAAAACAAACTGTTTTCTGGTGTCAGAGCTGTGCTTGTGAGTCCACTTCCCTCTCACCCCTAGAATTGTGCCCTCCACCTCATGCCTCCGCCTCAGGCCCTGAAGTCCTTTCAATTCCCAGCCACCTTCCTCCTTCACTGCTACCCCCCCAGAGGTCTCCCACGCAGCCTGGCTCTCTGTAAGGGGGGATTTCCATGGCTAGGGACGCAAATAAATACAACCCACTACCTTCCTAGCAAGGGACCCTCTTGTATTTTTTTTTCAAGAGCTATGAAAAGATGTATAGAATTGGCAAATACACCAGTGGATTGATCCCACCTTCTTTATTTAGGTGACTGACTGTAGGAGAGCCCACCCCAAAAGCATC